TGCCCCCTCCCCCGGCACCCCCATCTTTGCTGGCCAGATAAACTGCTACTCATACTTTAAAACTCTATCCAAAGACTTTTTTTGAGGTGCCTTCCCTCACCTCTCTGGGTTGCTACCTCCCAAGGTCTTGCTCCTGACTGATTAAATCACTTATCACATTACTGCTTGTTTGTGGAGCCATCTGGCAACTGGCCTGGGAGCTCTAATAGGTCATGTCACAGCCTTAGGAGTCCTTGTTACCCCCTTTTGTTCCCCTTGAGTTCTCTGGCACTTAGCACAGTGGCTGATGTGCAGTGGGGGCTCAGTGCATATTTGTGAAATAAATGAGTAAAATTGCAGAGGCAAAGCTTCCTTTTCAAACTTTACAGTTCCCTTCAGGGGTCCTCTCTCCACCTTTTTTTTTTTCCACCCCTTTCCCAGCCCTTGGCACTCCATATCCTTACGCTGCCCTCTGTAGAAATCTGCCAGGCCCTACCATTATTGCTACAGCCCAGGCTTCAAATTTTTTTCACTCAGTAGCCTACCAAACCTTACCAGTCTTGCATCTCAACCCTTCGCGCTAGATTTGAGATAAACCAGTGGTTCTCAAACCTTAACATAAATGAGAATCCCCTTGGGGTCTTGTTCAAACACAGAGTGCGGTGTCCCAGTCCTGGAGGTTTTGATTCTGTAGGTTATTGTTGTTGGTGGTGGTGATGGGTGGTGGTAGTGGTGGTGGTGGCTGAGGATTTGCATTTATAAGAACTTTCTAGGTGCTGCTGCTGTTAGACCACATTTTAAAAATATATATATTTTATTGATTTTTTATAGAGAGGAAGGGAGATAGAGAGCTAGAAACATCGATGAGAGAGAAACACTGACCAGCTGCCTCCTGCACACCCCCTACTGGGGATGTGCCTGCAACCAATACACATGCTCTTGACTGGAACCCAACCTGGGATCTTTCAGTCTGCAGACCCACGCTCTATCCACTGAGCCAAACGGGTTTCGGCAAGACCACATTTTGAGAAATACCGGAATAAAAATGGACAAACAAGAGAAATGCAAATAAAGGTATCCTTTAAAAATATATATATATATATTTTAATATATATTTTTAAATATATAAAAAAATATATATTTTTTATATATAAAAAATATATATATTTTTTTATATATAAAAAATGGGGGATTGAGCCCGCAACCCCAAGCATGTGCCCGTGTCAGAATCGAACCTGGGACCCTTCAGTCCGCAGGCTGACGCTCTATCCACTGAGCAAAACTGGCTAGGACAAACAAAAGTATCCTCAATTCATCTTGACTTAGCCCCTTAACTGAATTTCAGATTCTGTCAGCACTGCCTGGATTTGGTTAATCCCAGATCATTTTCCCTCTGCTTCACCTTGTCATCCTCCTCCCACTTTTTGGTCTTTTCTTATTCTCAGTTTCTTCACTTTACTTGATTAACCCTTCTCTTTCTCCTTCATAAAGGCAAGGTTTCAGGACAAAGCTCTTTCTTGATCTCTTGGCTCCATTTCACTGTCCACTTCCCCTTTGCTGCTCCCCCCACCCAGTCTTAGCACCCCCTACCCAAGCAGTCAGTGAGCTTTCGAAAGCTTGGCTCCAATTAGGGCCCACTTCCTTCCAGCAGGGTGACCATTTCCCCTCCTCAGGGAGTCTGGTTCCACAAACAACATTGGCATGCTAATGACAGTCACCTGCTGGCTCTGGGAAGTCTGCTGTTTGCTCCAGCTTCCTTAGGGACAGTGGGATCACTGAAAATATCACATTTACAACACACTTTGATTGAGCACCTGCCAGACACAGTGCTGGACCCAAGGGACCCTGCCAGGGCACTTAGAACATGAACACAAGTTCATGGTAGTGCCGAGGGTCCACAATGCCTCTTCATGAAAGGGATCTTTTTTGTTTGTTTGTTTGTTTTTAGTGATTTTAGAGCGGGTGGGGGGGGAAAGGGAGAGGGAAAGAAAAAAATATTGATTGATTGCCTCCTGGACACACCCTGACAGGACCAAACCCAAAACCCGGGCATGTGCCTTGACCAGGAATTGAATTGGTGACCTTTCCGTGCATGGGTGATGCTCAACTGAGCCACATCAGCCAGGGCATGAAGGGGAACTTTTGGCCACACTCAGCAAAGTGGGGACAGACATTCAAGGCAGAAACTAACCACTCACGAGAGCGCTCCTTTCTGCTCAAGTAAGAAACTAACCACTCAGGAGAGCCAATCTTTCTGCCAAAGATTGGAAGACTCAAACCCAGGGAGTTTCCAAACTTCTTTGTTGAAATAAACATTATAATCCACACCTCTCAGTCATTGGCCCACTGCATTGAGTGAAATAAGGTATGTGAAGCCCAGAACATAGTGAATTAAATCTCTCTACACATAGTCCATGCACACTGACATCCACACACTGACACACGCACAATGACACATATACCAACACACACATTGACATGTACATACTGACTCACACACCAACACACAAAACTGGGGTACACACCTTTACCTACATACACACTGAAATTACACACTGACATACACATCGATATAGACAAATGGAAACACGTACACACTGACCAACAAATACAAACATGGATTAAATGTATGCCAGACACACACTGACATAAATTCACACCTACTCAACATCAACACCAACCCACACCCCACCCAAACTGGGAGGCCCAGGCCCTAGGGGGACTTGCAGATGCATTGCAGGGTCAGGTCTTGGAGGCGTGAAAGGGTTGCAGGAGACTTGAATTACACACTTGGTTCTAGCCTGAGAGGTCCAGTGGTTCAGAGGAGGACTCCACAAGGTTCCAAGGATCCCTAGGGACAGGTGGGCAGAGTGGACCACACTGGCAGGCCACCAAGGATTCTGCACTAAGGCGCTGGGGGAAATATCCAGGGCTTTGGTCAGTGCAGAGCGAGCGCGAAGGCCAGAGGGCAGTACACCCAGAGAAAGGCAGGGTTCCCACGCGCCCAGTACTCTGCCTGCCCAGCTCCCCAAGCTCTACCCAAATGCCTGCTTCTGGTCCCACCACCACCCAGACACCACGTCCGCCACACCCCACCCTTTGCCAGGGAAGACCAGTCTCCCTCCCAGTCACCCATCCTGGAAGCTGCAGGTCAACTATGACCCCTCCTCCCCCATCTGATCCTAGTTCAGCCCTACAGAGGTTCCTCACAGCTGTACCTCCTGGTGTCTTTTCTTTCTTATGTACATCTCTCCCCCTCTATCCAAATCCTCTGCTTTCCTGTCGAGGACACGCTTAATTGGTTGTTTCCTGAGTGTCAGGCCCTAGGCACTAGGGATGCTTCAGCGCAGAGTCCTAGTTCTTCAGGTGCACTCCTCACCCAGGGAGCTCCCAGAAAGGGCAGTGAGAAGCACGGTCCCAGCAGCGGGAATCCAATGCCAGAAAAGCGCTTCATGTGACCACCCCACTTCTCTCTCTTCCTTCCTTCTCCACAGGCCTGGGCCACTGGGTGGGGTCCCTTCTCCCTCTCTCTCCCTGGTTCCTGTTTTGCTGCTTTCCTCCCTCCCGCCTCCCCTTCAGCCGCTCTGCCTTGGCCTGGCTGCTGAGGGGCCTCTCCCAATCCAGGTCCCCTGTGGACCCAGTTTTCATCCACAGGCCTGGCTCCCCTCGAAGTCCCAGATGCCACTCTAGGGTCTGGGTCCCCCTTTGAGACCAGAGCACCTGCCCTTTAGAGGACTGGAGTGCCCCACCCCTCCAGATCTGCCAGGGTTCCCCAGTCTCAGGGAACTAGCCAGGGGCCGCTCCTGGGGTGAGGGTGGGAGGGAAGGGGGCATCAGGCCTCAGTGGTGGAGAGGTGTCAAGGGCAAGAGAAGGGACCCGCGGCGGTGGCTGGCCAGGAGGAGAAGGAAATCAGGCAGGCAGAGCCTCTGCCTTCAGAGGTTCTCCTGGGCTCACCCAAGGTTTAGGGACAATCAGGGAGCGGCTTACAGCCACTGGAGGCAGCTTCTCCTCTCTGCCTACTATCCGGCTCCACAGAGCTGGGATCTTCATCCCCAAGCATCTCCTCTGAGTCCCCAACGGTCCAGGCAAGAGAGGGTGGGGGTAGGCGGTCTGGGCTGGCTGGGGAGAGGAGGCCTGGGGCCCATCTGCGTTAAGTACCCAACGGTGGTGGCTTGGCTCCAGGAAACTGCAGCCCACAGGACCGGAGGCTTAGAAACCCCAGGGCAAAAGGGGCGCTCCATTTCTGCACTGCTGGCCTCGGACTCCGCTGGTCACAGATGAGTTACGGGGCGGCAGTTCGGCTCCCCCTACCACCCTCTTTCTAAGCTCCACTACGGAGGTGCCGCAGCAGCTGCCCCCCTCCGGCCTCAGCAGCACTCCCGGGCCATGATGGGGGCCGGGGGGACGGGTGTCAGGTGTGGTGGAGCATCGAGACTCCAGTGGCGGGCTCTGGGACCCCTGCACCCTGATATCTCGGTGGAGAGGTGGAAGGGGTCCAGGGGGCCTGGGGGAAGGAGGGAAGGACTGCGGAGCTCAGCAGCAGAGCTGTGCGCGGGAGGGGGAGGGGCAGGGGCTCCCCTCCAGCCTTTGGGGGTCGGGAGACTCAGGATGTAAGGCGAGAGCAGGGGGGTGTGACAATTCAGCAGAGGTCGGGACGTACCATGGAACCCAGTGGCGGGGGTGGGGCAGGACGTGGTCACCGAGGGGAGCCCCCGCCTCCCTTGCAGAGGCCAGCGGCTGGGGTTGCAGGGGGAACTGGGGGCGCGCTAGCGGGGGGAAGCGGCGCATTAAATCCGTCCACTCCCCAGACCCCACTTCCGAGTGGGTTGGAGATAGAGGGGAGATCGGGGTTGGAGCAGCGGCGAGGGGGCTCCTCCCTTGCACCTCCCCCCATAGGACTTGGTCGCGCCCAAAGTGTAACACTTTCTCTTTGTCGGAGGAGCTCCCCTGTTTCCCGTGCTGGATCTCCCGTTGAGGAGGCGCCGGAGGCAGCCCTGGAGGAGGCAGGAGCAGTTGGAGGGATGGCAGCGACCGACATAGCTCGCCAGGTGGTGAGTGCGGGGCTTGGGTAGCAAGGACCCTGGCCAAGGGCCTGGGCTGGGCAGGGCAGGGGAGACCTAGCCGCCGCCGCCTTCGCCGGGAGGGCAGGGAGCAGCATCCCGGAGTCCAGGTGCGGCGGGACTTCTGCTCCCGCGATCGGCGGCTCGGTCGCCCGGCCAGTCCCCGAGAACCACAGTGGTGGCGGGCGGGCGGCCAAGGCTGCGGGCCGGCGGCTGAACTTGAATTGCCCAATATCTGCTACAAGCGCCGCCGCTTCCCTCGCTGCAGCAGCGGTCCCGCCGATGGGGCGTTGCCGAATGAATGGCTGCGAGAGCCGCCAAGCTTTCCTCGTCTCGGGTGCCCCGGCCTGGCTCCCTGAGCCGCCGGGCCGCGCCCCTGCGCGCAGCTGCCCGCTGCGACCCGGCCACCTTGGGGAGAGGGACCCGGGCCTGGGGTTAGCCTGGGGCAGGAGTTGGTGAGTGGTGAGGGGGGCGGGGAGGTGACTGGCTGGGGGAGGGACTCTCCGTATGGATTACATATGTGACTGCGTCTGTGAGTGTGCAGCTCTGTGTGCTTCTGGGTGCACGCGCGCGCACTCGTGCCTCCCGGGCGGGCGGCGGCGCCCCGCTGCTCTCTGACCCTGGATGAGTCCGTCAGTTTCTCTTGTGTGTTCACCTTCAGGGTGATATTCGGACGCCTCTCTGCCTGTGCTGTGTGCCTCTGGGTCCCATCTGTGCCTCTGTGTGGGGTGCATTCCCCTGGCCTGGAGGTGGCTGGCTGCGTATTTTGGTGGCAGCGTTCCGAGCACCTGACCCAGGGTGTGCGGGCCGCCGGGGTCTGCAGGGGCGCGCGTTCCGTGTTATGGGGCTTGAGTACCCAGATCTGTGGAGCTGGCTTCTTTCTATGGGAACTCAGGAAAAGAACTGTGAGATTTGCAAAAATGGTGCCCTCCCTCTTTTTGTTGGCAACAGACTCGGGGAAGAAAAATCTTCATGTAAAGAACTGAAGTTTTCTAGCCCAAGGTGTACACAGAGATCATGTTGAAGTGACCCGAAGCCCCATGTTTGGTTGTTTTTAGATCAGAAGTTTGGTTGCAAAGGAAAGGGATGATTCCATTTGGGGGAACAAGCTAGCCTTTCTATTCATCCACGGGTTTCTGGAATTTTCAGAAGGCCACAGTTGCCAGCACCCTGAGATCAGGAAGGAGAGTGAAATAAAGGAAGTTCAAATCCCACGACACCAAATTCTATTTTATGAAAATCTCTAACACACACACACACACACACACACACACACACACACACACACGTTTTAAAACGTTGTGTTTACTTATTAAGGGAAATAGTCTGTGCAATACAAGTCCAGGGCAATATAAAAGCCTCTAAGTATTTGGTATAGTTGTTTTCAAAATCAGAATCCAGAATCCAAGTGTTTACAAGATATGTATAAATTTATTCCACCCTCTTGTCCCTGTTTAGAAGGGCAGAGTGATTTCTTTGAAACCTCCTCCAACTTCTGCAGACCCCAGATGGAGCTTTTTATATAGTCACGATGTGGAAGGACTCAGAGTAGATAGGATGCGCTGGGATAACAGAAATTGAGAGAGTTCTCTTCTCCCCAAGATTAACACTGTGATATCTATTACTTTAGTGTTTTCAGAGTTCCCAGAGTGCCTTTTCCCCCTTATTACCTGCATTTTAGCCTCCTGGGTTACATTTGTCCCATCCTTAGTGACCAAAAAGGATGCTAATGATTTTTCTTGTCAGCTAATTAATTTGCATTGACCCGTCTGTGAGCTTTCACCAATCCCTTTGCCTGGATTAGGACTGCAGGGCAGATGCTGCAAAGGGGAACGTTCTAGGAGGTTGGCACAACTCCAGCAACCAGGCATCCTTTTGTTCTGCAGATGAGGGTGGAGTGGTTTAAGGCCACTTAGTTTCCTTTGCATGGTTACAGTTTGCTCTGGCTGTCCTTGCTGTACTGTATTGTACCTCAGATTCTGAAGCTCAAAGAGCAGCAGAGCACTTGAGACCTTGTTATCGTGATAAATGGGTTTCTGGGAAACCTGACGTCACTCTCCATGTCCCCCTCCCCCCCGCCAGTGAAGCTCTTGTTTAATGTGTCATTTGTCTCTGCTCTCCTTTTTGTCTGCAAGAAGTTGTAATTCACCGGGGAAAGATGGGATTAACTCAGGAGACCTTGGCCTTCTGGTTGCAGTTTGTTTCTTCCAGGGAACGTGCATCCAGGGGTTGGGAAGAAAAGACTGGAGAATAAACCTGAGTATGCCTGGCTTAAGAGTTCTGTTTAGTGAGTTCTGAGACAAGGCGCCATGCAAGTAGTCCTCTGGTATGTGGTGTGTGTGTGTGTGTGTGTGTGTGTGTGTGTGTGTATGTGTGTGTGTGTGTGTGTTCTTTCCAGAGTCAGTTGAGGGTCACTCTGGCTAGACTAAAACAGGCCCTAGAGTTGTTGGGTAGGGCCCTTATTTGGGCATGCGTGCAACTTGCAAGTTCAGTTCTGTACATTGTGCAGTCCCATCCCATTTGAATGAACACTACAAAGACTGTGCATGACAAAATGATTTCTCTGTTGTGACCACAAGTGTTTATTTGATTGACTAAGTGTCCCACATGATGGCTAGCCCTGGTCAACTCTACAAAAAAAAAAGTAGTGGATAAAGTTATTGGCTTTTAAGTTTACAGTATACTTGGGGAACAAATTGTGGACACAATAATTAGGAAATTACAGCAGATTCTTGGGCTGTCCCTACCCCCAACCCCTGTCTGTGAGGTGGCTTGGCTGCTATTAATATATACCTACTCTGAAAGGATGCATGACTTGTCCAAGGTAACCTCGCCGTGCACAGTGCAGGCCCCAGAGGCTGCATTTCCTGGCTCTTGAGCTGTTCCTTTCAGTGTTGCATTTTGAGTTGTAGCCTCTAAGTGCTGGCCCATAGAAAGAACCTTGATTCTGGCTTGAAACAATCCAAAATGTGGAAATGATGCTTTCTCTCAGCAGCAACCAGGTAATGGTCTTTCTCACAGTAAAAGACTTTGCAGGGGCGAACTTTGCCCTAGCTGGGTTTGGCCTAGAACGAGTGCCTTAGGGCAACTGCCTGCAGGTGGCTGCACTCTGGACTTGCTATCAGATGGCTCTTCCCCTCGATTTCCCTTGAAGCTCCCTGCTTCAACCATCTCCACCGCTTCACACTAAAAATATAAACAGGACCTTAAAAAGACATATAAAAAAAAAGTTGTTCTTAAAATACAGAATGGAAAAACCACTTCATCTAAGAAAACCTGAACTGAGTTCTTTGTAAAACAAACCTTGTGAACCAGATAAAAATGTCTTTATGTTATTTGTAAATCTGAATTTTTATGCAACAATCCCTGTTAGATTCCACTATATTTAATACAAAATAAAGTAATTCTGTGGGCTGCATCACAAATAGCCAACTTCTTGATAAATATGACCCTACTTCCTTTTACTGGGATTTTCCATTGAATTAATTATTTGTACTGGGTTAGCAAGCATTTTTTTCTTAAGCCTAATAAAATTTGACCTATTGCAAACAAACAAACAAACAAACAAACAAATAAACAGGGCAGAAGCCGGTTTGGCTCAGTGGTAGAGTGTCGGTCTGCAGACTGAAGGGTCCCGGGTTCGATTCCGGTCAAGGGCATGCACATTGGTTGCGGGCACATCCCCGGTAGGGGGTGTGCAGGAGGCAGCTAGTCGATGTTTCTCTCTCATCGATGTTTCTAGCTCTCTATCTCTCTCCCTTCCTCTCTGTAAAAAAATCAATAAAATATATTTTTAAAAAATAAAAATATAAACAGGGGCAGCAAGCCTCAATAATCTCTCCTACCTCTACTGGGCTTATAGCACTGAAAAAAATTTATATGGCTCCAAATATTCAAACTTCTTCAATCTAAGCCAAGAGCATATGCCTGATCATTGTACTATTTCCCAACTTTTCTGTATGTTTAAAACTTTTCAAAATAAAAAGTAGGGGGGATTATAGTGCACACCCCCTTCAAAATGCACGTGTCCCCTTCCCTTGGGGAATTTACAGTCTGGTAGCAGAGGCAGACACCAGTAAGTATATAATTACCATGTGGTAAGTTCTGCACAAGAGAGCGGCTGCCTGCTGTGAAAATCCATTCAAGGGGACCTAATCCAGCAGTGGTGGTGTGGGACAGGAAAGGCTTCAACTAGGAAAAGGGTAGATGTGAAGATGGGTGAGATCTCACTTCTGCTACCGGGCTGGGAACATTTCCTTTGTTAATTCACACACTTTTGTTTTCATTCATTTCTTCAATGTGTGTATTTGTTGGGCAGCGACTCTGCCAGGCCCTGTGCCAGGTGCTGGGATCCAGTGTGGCCAAGGCAAATAGGATGCTGCTCTCTCCAAACTTCCAGATGAGAGGCAGGAATAAGCCCGCTTCCTTTTTCTATCCTAAATCCCGGAAATGTGTGTTAGCAGTGTTCTTACTCCAAAACGGCATTAAAGCTGAGTGATTTGTCTGTAAAACACAATGAGATTTTGACCTGCTGTCATGTGCATAGCATTTACTTTGTGTAGTTTTTGCTGCAACATTTTTATTAGTTGCTGGCTTTGTTACTCAGCAGGCCCCTCCTCCTTTTTTTCTTTTTTAGCAGGCTCCTCCTTCTGTGTGCTGTAAGGGAGTGAACCCGTTGTATTAGCTGGAGCAAAAGTTATTAGGAAGCTTAGTACCCTGGAAAAAGGTATTCCAGGGTGAAATAGGACTGATTTCTGGACTTGCCTGGCCTCCTGGATTATCAGAGCTGGGGTTTCATGTTAGTATGAACAATTGATAAGGGTATCTACTGCATGAACATTAAAACTGCACTCAAGAAAGAAAGAGAGCCGAAACTGGTTTGGCTCAGTGGATAGAGTCGGCCTGAGGACTGAGGGTCCTGGGTTCGATTCAGGTCAAGGGCATGTACATTGGTTGCGGGCACATCTCCAGTGGGGAGTGTGCAGGAGGCA